GATATGGAAACTTTGGGGGCAGAAGGCCCCCGATTTATATTCTTTAAGCCGGCTGGAAATCGAAAGGTGGGACCTCGGATTTAGGGAAGATTTTGGACATTATAGTGCTGTACGTGACTGTATTTTGCTTATAAACTGTGAAGCCTCTTGTCCGCTCTTAAAAAATCAAGTTGTGATTCCTCAAAATGTATCTAAAAGATACAATTACGTTACATTATAAGAAGTTATTGCAAACACTTGGTAAATTTATATTTTCAACTTTATTTATCCATTAACCTCACGAGGCCTCGAATTCTCAGTTGTTTACACTTGGTTATTCTCCAGTATTGAAGCCATTTAGCTCTAGTTTCGTCAGCAAGAAAACCTTACGCTTTATTGCTGACAAAATTTTAAAACATCGAACCATTTAAAACAGAAATGGAAAACAAGAAATCCAGTTAATTGAGATCGAAAAAATACATATCCAAATTTGCTCTACAAAAACAGTATTGGCAAGCGCCAAATCCGACAGAGGACGCTGTTTTTGAACCAAGATGGCTGCCGAAACAGGTAAGGAACCGACCGCGTGTTTGTTCAGTGCCTGAGCCGATTCAGTTTCCGTCGGTGACGACTACTGTGCGAGGACCAAATGGAGAACAAATTGAATTTATGTCAAATTCTAGACTATATCGGCGACAGGAAACGTTGTCTTGTAGAAGGTGAAGCCGTTTTGGATGCTGGACACATCGTATTTTGTGGATTAAACTCTAACAACAACACCGAAGTTCATATTGTTGCAATCTCAGATATTGTCATTTTAATACATCTCAATTACAGGGAGAATGAACGTGTAAAGCGGGGCTGTCTGGTTTTTGTAAACATGTGATAGCATGTTTATTACACGTTAACTGGTGAGAAGAGTTTAAATAATTTAAACAGTAGGTTAATGTTCAGGGTCGTAGACTGTCATGGCGGCTCTTCCTGTTTTAGCCTCGAAACCAGACCGCTTTGGAGACGACGTGTCACGTGACGACGCGAGCGAACGGCGGCGGCTGCTGCGCCGCGATAAACGGGGAAAATCGACGCGCGGGTTAACGTCCATATACGTAGACTCATGGCAGCTCATCTCTAATTCCGCAAAAATAAAAGGAAACAGTGGGGACGCACGTTCTAACCTAACCTAACCTATTCTAATAATTTAATCGGTAATAATTGTGGTAATTTATCAGAATAGGTTAGGTTAGGTTAGAACGTGCGTCCCCACTGTCCTTTCGTTTGCTGGAAACAGCGGTGAGCCGCCAGCGCTGCCGCGGCGCAGCATCCGCCGCCGTTCGCTCGCGTCGTCACGTGACACGTCGTCTCCAAAGCGGTCTGGTTTCCAGGCTAAAACAGGAAGAGCCGCCATGACAGTCTACGACCCTGAACATTAACCAAACAGTATATATACACGACGTTCCAATATAAAAACAGTTTTATTTATCATAATAGTTAGCCTTCAGATTGGCACTGATTTTAAGTCATTCTGCACTTATACAACATAGGCCAGTCAAGTTTGTAGCACACTTTTTTTGTGTATGTAGTAGTAGTCACTAGGGTTTCTCAAACGGGATTCCGGGATCCCGGTCGTTTTTTTAACCCGGGAAATCCCGCAAATTTCTTAAAAATTCACTTTTTTTCTTATTTTGTGTTAAGATTGAGGAATTTTGCAAATAGAAAGCATAATTAACTCATTCACTGTCAGAATACATTTGTATTTATTAATTTTAAACCTACCTATTAGTTTTTTTAAATTTTTGCTCGTTATAGCATGTCACAAATGGTCAATAATCAATATATAGCTTATTTGTGGCAGGACTATAAAAATTCTTTACTTGTCGGAACCTGTAATATCTGGAATAATTGTGCTTACGCTGTCTTGAGTTTTAACCATGCCCAGTAGCTTCAATAAATGCCTGACGCCAGATTGTGCAAATTGGGCAAGGATACAAACGAGTACAAAGTCTGCAAGTATGAAGTTTTTCTTCATAAACCTGATTATTAAAGCCAAATGAATTGCCGAATTATCGAGCTCTAAGCTTGATGCCGCTATTAAAGCAGCCAAGGTAGACAAATCAAGAATACTAGAGAGCGAAAGAAGTACTACAATCTCGAAAACGAACTCGAAAGCTTCCAGGCTACAGGTGAAAAAACACATAATATCTGTCTTCTCTTAAATGCATTAAACACTATTCCAATCACATCAATTGAATCGGAAAGGGCATTCTCGGTGGCAAGACTTTTCATTACTAAAATAAGAATTAGAGTGAGTTATCGGAGTATTGACCATCTTTGCTTTTTAAAATCTTATAAAAGTTTGCAATATTTTGTATTATATTTTATTTAAAAAACGAAAATTACCTTCTAAATTAGAAGTTCATTTTTTTAATTTTTAACTCAATTCAAAACTTTTTTTTTGTTGTTGTTGTATGCAGTTTCCAGCAAACTTTAATTAATTTTTTTCTATTTGTGAAAATTTCTACGTTATTTAAAGGTAATTTTTATTATAGGCCTATAGACCTAACACAGCATTATTAATATGATTTTGGAGGTTACAAAACTTTAAAATTACTTTAAAAAATGGAAAATAATTATATCATTTGATTTCAAGATATTTTGTATACCTTAAAAATAATTAATTCTATCCCGGGATTTCCCGGGAAACAGTTCTTTTATCCCGGGACAAGCAAAATACCGGGAAATGAGAAACCCTAGTAGTCACCGATGGAAACTGAATCGGCTCAGACACCGAACAAACACACGGTCGATTCCTTACCTGTTTCGGCAGCCATCTTGGCTGAAAAACTGTCGGGTTTGGCGCTTGCCAATACGCTACCACAAAGGAACCAATATGGCGACTTCCGCGATGTATCGCGGTATCGTGTGTATAGACATTTGCGTCTTTTCGACTAGATCTCCCGTTGTCCGAATTAACGGGGTCTTTTCTCCGACGAGATGGATATACCGTAGTTTTATTACCATCGGCTGTATACACAAGTTTTGATAGGTTACACTGCCCAAAAGAATATAATTAAATCACACTTTAACATTTTCTTCCTTTTATTTATGGTCAGGTTTTTTTTTCCTTTGCAACTTCCATCGTCGCCATTTTACTGCTGCCGTTGCGCGAAAGTCGGGTTGTCGAACTACTGCGTGTGAAGAGACGGACCTCTACCGGAGGGGATTATTTTTATATTCTTCAGGCCTCGCGGTAAGTATACTGTATCTGTAAATCTTTACTCGTACAAGAAATGGAATACAGGAGCTTCCCTACTTACGTTTTGACCGTAGGTGTAAAATTTAAATTTCTCGCCAGAACCTAACCTATTCGTAAATGTGGGAGCACCTGTATTTGTTCTATAACTGTAAAACATTTAGGATTAGCGATGTAGATCTAGCATTTTAAGTCTTACTACTACGGGTGTAATATTTATATAGTAATGGCACCCGATTCTAGATATATATAAGATGAAATTTTGTAAAAACGCCCCGATTTAACAAAAATTAATATTAACGCGTAATACCCTACTTTTAATTGTGTTTGTTTATTAAAGCAATCGATAATTAACATATTTCTCTTAATTACGAAAAACAATATACTTTTGTTAACTTCTGGAATGTAACCCCGTGTTAGGTCTTTGTTTCGTATAGCACGGAATTTTCAGTGGATTTCTGCGCTTTTTTTAAAACAGACGAATCCTCTGTAATTGTCAATTCTTCGACTTCGACAGCAGAATTTTGTCACCGTATCTTGGCTGAATGACCGGCATGCCGGTTAAACTGCGGAACAATTCCGAAACGGACACCTAAGCAGGGGCGAATCCTGACCAAAATTTTTGAGCATGCTGAAAGTTATAAGAATAATAGGCCTATCTTTAGCCTCAAACGATAGGCAGAAACGTTATTTGGTGTGAATAAAAAGTATGGACTATTATAAAGCCCATTATATCTACACATGAAATATACTAAAGATTTATGATATAATTCAATTTTTGTGGCCCCTAACACGGATTAATAGGGCTTAAGCCCTGGACCCCCAATGTAGATCCGCCCCTGTACACACACGTATGCCGACTGGGTACCGCAAGCTTTCCATACAATCTGGCAGTGTTAAATGACCAGAGAATTCGCCCGTGCCTAAGTCATCGATCCCGGACGACGCTTCTACACACGCATACATAAAACGGTTACCGAGCAAGTTTGATTGCCGCATCCAAAGAAGAAACGATGGATCATCTTTTATCTTACCATACAACCCATGTCCTCCCGGAAGGCACCCACCTCGTGTGTCGTGTTGCCGCATCCATGATGAATTTATCCAGAAGAGAGTTGGAAAATTCGTGTTATATGAAAAATATCGTTGACCGGAAAACCGATATTTCGAGTTTTTCGTTCTCTCGAATCCGAACAACACCGTTCTAAGCGAAATTCCCGAACCGGAAAAATTGGCATCCGATTTACCGGTGGCCCACTGCCGAAAGATTTAATGTCGAACGAGGAAAGCTCTTCCTCGCGGGTGAAGACCTTTCAAAGCCTTACGGTACCAATGTTGATTTAGTAGGGGGTTATTACCATAAACCCGAATGAGAAGCCAGAAAAATCGGCCGCCAAACACCGATTTACGCATTCGAGCGCTCAATTTTTCGGAATGCCTCAAAACACGTCAGCCACATTTGGGATTCCATCGAACCTGCCCTTCTGCCCTTCTTTATCTCGACAACGGAGTTAGATGACCCGCACGACTTCCATCGTTAACGGGAAAAGTATGACGTACGGGGGCGAGACACTACTAAACTCGAAGGCATTTGTGACGACGTCACAATAAATAACTGCTAGTTACGTATAAATTTTCACTTTCTGTAGGTCGACCGACATTAACACCGTGGAAAGTACCCAAAAAAAAAATAATAGAGGGTGTACTCTTTTATCCGGGTATTTTACTGCTGTGCGCGGTTATTAAATAGCAATATTTTTAGATGAAGGGATTTATTTTTACGTGGTGAATTTATTAATCCTGAAAAATATTAAATACACAAAAAGATTCCATAAATTGTCTGTTAAAAATAGTGGATACATACTTATTTATTACTTTTTTAAATACATTTTCCACTATTATAGATCTTTTTTTTTTGTTGTTTTTTTTCTTTCTTTTCGAACGAGACGAGATATACAGGAACACTTTGGAAATCGATTGAGAGCTCGAGCGCCTCGAACTTCTCGTCGTTTCTTTCGGTTAAGAAATGATAGAAATTGGAAAAATAACATTGCATACTTGGGAAGTTCTCTTGGGAATAGGAGACGATGCCAAATATATATACTTTTTATTTTATTTTACGTCGGACCCGACGCGGAAAAACAATTCAGTCGCTTCTACTTCGCATTGTTTGAATATGACACTTCGTTTTTCCAGGAATGTGTAATATACACGGTACAAATTTTAATTATTTATATATATATATATATATAATTTCTTTTTATACATTTGTTTTTTCGGTCGATAACCTGGGACTCGATCTCCAAATCTGCAGAAGGTTACTGTTTTATTTTTTGCGAGTGGCAATTCTAAAATACTCGATAAAAGAAAATATCATCTTCTGCACGTTTAAGCAACGAGTCCTTAAAAATTTTACTTTTATTATTAACTCTTTTTAAAAATTCCTACGCATCGAATACAATCCATCGAACAATGCTTTATTGTCTAATTTGCACGTGGTCGTATCGAGCACTGGGCACGCGCACGCACCCGCACGCGCGCGTGGATAAATAATGGAGTCGAGGCGAGATTAAGAGTGCCAATTATAGAAATGATCCGTTTGCTGTGCGTTAATCCTCTTAAAAAATAAATAAATAAATGAAGAATAAAATGCCGAGAACAATGGATTATAATAGTAACTACACAAAATGGCCGGTTACTTAAGTTATGGAATGATTATTCGGTATTAACGTAAAAATTGGCGCGCGTGTGGGTGCGTGAGCGTGCGTTTTTTTATTCACAGTCCGGTGGCATTTGGATCCCCAGGCACGCACTACGCTAACTATAGAATGAGCACGCGAAATAACACGTTGGGCTTAAAAATGACAAATACATGACCAGATATACAAGGTGTTAGATACATCCGTAGGACTAGTAAATAATAATAATAATAATACTTAACGATAAACACTTTTGTGCAATAATTATTGAATAAAAATAAATGTACAAAACGAAGTTTATAATATTACACGATGACGATTACAAATAACATTAGGACGACAGATTACACAGATTGTTGTTACCATAACTGATTTACTAACACGTGCCGCCCGGTCCGTGCTAGCTGCCAGTTGTTTATACATGGTGTGGCAGGGTTTAGGCTTCGGTCTCTCCGCGCAGTCGTAATCTGGCAAAGTCTTCGAAAATAATGTCGTCGTCTTGATCCGCTAAACAACTTGTGCCGTCTCTGCAATTCAAACATGTCATCAACTCCAACGTCACCACGATAATACGGAGTATTTGCCGTAATCTAAGCATCCCTGGTTTGACAATACTTATTACTGGATGTTGCTTAAATCGTTACTTTACTTACCACTAACAGCAGGTTACTAAACTGTTAAAGATGACTGATCTTTGGAAAAATCTGGCCAGTTGTGGCAATACTTTCAGACTAATGACGGGTTTTTACAGCATTTTTCATCTTTCCACGAGATATTTTACTTATAACACCCATTAATCTGATGTTTTGAACTTTACACCTTGAATGATTGATAAATAGATTGTAACGTGAATCGTGATTAGCAGCAGTTGGCTGCTATACATTGCTTCCCTGGCATTGTTCCTTGTGTTTGCAGGCAAAGTTATTTAAGTGTATATAAAAATGTTCACATATTTTGAAGAAACACTAAAACTTGGTTTCAAAGTCATTCTCCAACCTTCAGGAACAAACAGACTCTACGGGCAGAGTATATATACTCTGCCCGTAGAGACCATTCGTACCTGAAGGTTTGAGGACTTTATTTGAAGAAACACTAAATCTTCATTTTATACATAGTCGACCCCCCCTATAACACTGTTGATTATTCCATTTTATATGAATTCCATGTTGTACGAGTCACTTAGATTTTACAAATACGTGTGCCGGGTTGTGAACGGCTCATGTATTTGTAAAATCTAAGTGACTCATACAACATGGAATTCATATAAAACGGAATAATCAACAGTGTTATGGGGGGTCGACTGTACATGGTTATTGTCCTTGGCCTATTCTTTTAATACTTTATTAATTGTAATGTATTTTTTACACACAGTTATTTAAAATCACATTTGCTTCTTGATATTTTGATAATGTCAACTGTCAAAGGATGACATTTGACTAGTTTAAATTTTAGGTCTAAAACTAAACTTCTGATCAGTTATTTGATAAGGAAGAAAGGAAAAGATAAAATGATGAATTTTACAAATAGCGTGCAAAATGTTCTTCAAATTATTAAATACCGATGTAAATTTACAAAAACGGTACATCTGCTGAATGTGAAAGCAAAATAAAAACGGTATTGCTTCGATTATGTAGTAAGCTGATCTATAACATGCCAAATTGGGAATAAATTTGCAATTTATATACCTGCCAGAATTATCGTTACTGCCCTAAAAATACATAGTCGCCACGACCGGATTGTAGAAATAAAAGTTTACTTACGTGTCTAACTGAATCAAATTTGTATCTACCGGCATGTCGCCGCCTTCGCTACATCTTTCGGCCGCGGCGATAGAATATGTCATGTTTGACGATTCTTCCGGTTTAGGATTCATCAAAACGAATGGAAGTTCGGCAACTAAATCTCTGGAAAAATATTTTTAAGTTATTCATAATCGTGTAATAGCGTTATTAATTTTATTATAATAATTTCTGTTACTCGTCTGTTATTGTGCGAGTGTCACATTAATTTTCTGTGTAATGATGTTAAAAAAACATTACATTTGGGAAACAGTTCAAAATATATAGTATTCTGGAGTCCCTACGTGTGGACAACTCACATCAGACCAATTTGGTTCAAAGGAACCAATATAACACTACCTACTTAATTTCATCATGCTTACTGCCATGTATGTCAACCTTTTGATGTTTAGATATATAGGTAATCAAAATTCTATTTATGGGTCTACACAAATGATGGACTTATTAGCAGATCAAGACTTTCCCAATAAAGCAAAACTATCCCTATTAATTATTAGTAGCCTCCTTAGAACTGATATAGTTTGTCTCCAACAATGTCTAACAGAATATTTTTACTAATTTTAGACATATATCAGACAGATGCCACGTTGCTATAAGTTACGTGGTTTTATTTACTTGCTGGAAATAGGACAGCATGCAAAATTCTGATTTAGAAAATTAAATTTGCCAAATGTACACCCTATATTAATGGCAGCCGACAAGATAAAATTGAAATTTTATCTTTTTCACCAACAGTAGAAGGGATTAGGTAAACCCTATGAAATAATGCTGAAATAGTTGCTTTTTTGTAAACTTTACATTTAAGTGAATCAAAGGATCACTGTTATATAGTTCTATCACAACTACTGATAATCTCTTGGTTGCAATATTTAAAAATGAGATGGAATGATTAGTGTTATATAGAAGAGGAATGGCTATGTGCAAGTAGCACGTACAGGTAGGTAGATATCCTATCGGGATAGATACCACAAATACAAAAGTAGAAATCTGATAATTGGAAAGGATTTTTATGACTTGTAATGTCCACATAACTATTTCTGTTAACACCATTGAGAGAAAAGATGGATCCATGCATCCATTATTTTCGAAATAGATTCAATAGTTATAGACGACTAATCTCAAGGCCTTTCTTATTACCAGCACTTGCTAAATACTGTCACTGCATTGACCAATGTAACTGCCTCAAAATTTAATATATGGATATTCTGTTATACCATCAATTTTAAAGAAATGGAATGTCAAAGTGAGAAAGTGTTTGTCCTTAATAACAAATTATTACCGATCTCCCCCGAATAAAATTTGACAGATTTGATAGCTTTAGACATAAATTAGACATCCAATGTGCCACAGAAAAGTGATGATTACAGCTAATACAGTATACGGTAGTTAGAACAGAAGACACTAAACAGGAAACGAAGCATACATAGATCACCACCTAGCAACCAAATCTAGAACTATTTGTTTTTCCTTCTATTGCTGGAAAGTATACAGCTGGCATAGACTCCACTAGCGTAAAAACCCTTGCCGTGAACACTTTTAATCACGTGCAATATTTTATGCCGAAGAAGGTTGTAAAACGAACATAAACAGAGTTGCGTGTTCAACTTTCAATGACAATACGGCTGTAAAATGGTACCTTCAACCAATCAAAAGTTGGTGGAACTGTGTCGTCGCAACATCGTGTGAAAATTGCAGGAAATGAGCTTTTGTGTATGTTCTGTCATGACTACTCAGAAAAGACCTAGAATAGATCTGGAAAGAAAGATTTATTGAAAACATCCGCAAGGCATCCCAATTATAAGAATGAATGCATAAAACAAGCAATATGGACGGCCAAAGGAAAATCCTTCAATTTAGATGAGTATTTAGTAAAAAAATTAAACCTATAAGTGCAGTATAGTATCTTAATAATATGATAATAAAAGTTATGAAAGTAAAAATATTATTTTTACTATGTTATGTTTTTAATTATAGTACAGAAAAATTGTAGAATATAATCATTGTCTTTATATTGATATATCACGTACAAAACCGTACCATTGAAGTAAAAACTTCGCTAGTGGAGCTGGACCTCCACTGCAATCCAAGTGCAAATGCAAATAGGTCACGTGATTAAAAGTATTTACAGCGAGGGTTTTTACGCTAACGGAGTCTCGGCCTTAGTGATTCTACTTTCAGTTAAATATCGTGTTTTCTTTTGTTGATTTATAATTTTAAGAAAATAATTGAGTTATATGTAATTAATGAATTATTGTATGCTTGCTTTATTTACATAAATAAAAACATGCAATAATGTGATGTTTTATCTCCCATTAAAGAAAACTAGAAAAATCACTAGTCTAGTATTAAACTAACATATTTAAAAATATTAAACTTACCCTCCTAATGGGCCTAAACACAGTTTCACTTTCACTTTGTATTGAACAATTATACCAAGATTTTCCTTCTGAGATGGATCTATAATACTAAAATATAAAAGATTTCTGTTATAATTTTTGGATTATTATTAAACATTTTTTAGATTCAAACAAAAATTATGAAATTCATTGTTGTTAGCAGATCTATCTAAAATTAGTTGAAGTATTAACTAAGCTCTAGTAATTTGCAATAAAAATATGTTTAAATCTTTCTAACTTAATTGATATTTTGATTGCTAGAAATTCCTAACAATGAAAGTCTCCAATACTTATTTTAATTAAAAAAACTACTACATTATTATGTAAATCATATTACTTACATTGTTGACGATGCTAAATTTGTATCTTCATGTTTTAACTGGCCGTCGAGTGCTAATCCTCTTTTATCTTTATTGTTTGCTAATAAGGGGCGAAGATAATAAACTTTTGACAATGTAAATCCTGGACCTACGGGACACCCGTCTCTATATTAAGAAATAATCTGGTGTTATAAATTTGTAAAAACTTTGATTTGTTACTTTTTAATTCTTAACTATACTTAAAATTGTAATACACAATAATTATACAATTATAAATCTGAGGTACACGAATCATACTTCAGTTACCCAAATTATTTGATAAATATATACATGCATAAATATACATAGTAGAGTCTGTACAGTCTGTCACTCGCCAGTCCAACATGTCCAGTAATCTGACACTGCATGGCAGGGCACACAAAAATTTGTGTGAATCCTCTTGTCGACGTGACAGAGGGAGACTGACGTACCGTACATGTATACTGTCAGTCAATACTTGTTTATTGCACATGAGATTGGCAAAACAATCAAGATTGTGGCTAATTAATATGATAAACTGAGTGCATTTTTTACCATCTGGTACATACATACATACAAAAATCAAGTAATCTGACATTCGTCGGTCTGGTATATATTGGATTACAGAGAGACTTTTCACGGGGCATCAAGCTGTTATATGAAATTGTAATATATACAATTCAAAATCTGTAACATTACAATTGGTTATAGACATTATAGTAAAATTAAATACATTTACAACAAAATAAATAATATATAAAAGGCATAAATTACATTTCTCCAGGAATTTTACACAACAACCTGTCGCAAGAGCCAAAAACATTCACTTTGATGTATTAAACTGATGCTTTTCTGATTTGAAAAGATTATGGTGTGTAGTATTATTGTTTTTAATCAGTTATTGAAGACTTTTTGTGTTTAAATTATATATTTTTTTAACATTTTCAACAGCATAATAAAAAAAATGAACAGGAAATATCAAGGCAACATAAACAATTTATACAAACTTTGATGAGATGATACTATTATAATATTTCTTCTATATAGTATATAGAAGAAATATAATAGTATCATCTCATCAAATAATAATTAGAAAATAAAACAGTCAAAGAAACAATTCTGAGGTAAAAGACCAGAATTCCGAGCCAATCTAGCAGAGTTTCCAGGATCGGTATACAACAGGTTGCTTAATTTACTTAATTAGAACATAAATTTTACAGAGAAAACTGCTGTTGACTTTTTGAATTAGATAAGGAGTGGCGAATAAGCAAATAAGAAGATATTAATTAATTTTACATTAAAAATCTAGAAGAGTGATCTAAGCACACTTCTAAAGAAATAGTCCTGCATGTGCCACATTCCTTGATGATGTTAAAAAGTAACTTGTTAAATTAATTATGTAAGATGATTATTTTACATTAAAAAAAATGTGGTATCAGCTATGTTTCTTCAATTGAATTATAATAAAATTCCTGTTTTCAAAGTAAATAGAGTAGAACCTCGAAAACTCGGCTCTCGATAACCCGGCACTCCGGATAACTCAGCCACACCCTGGCAGGGCAAAAAAATCCTTAGTTAATTAATTTTCATTATAGACAGCTTTATAAAAGTATAAAAGCTCTCAAAGTATTTTTCTGAGGTCTGTCTTATCAGGTAAATTACTGTACACAGTGTATTCATTAATTTTCATTCTCATGTAGTAAAGGCTCTATGCCTTCATAAAGGACGTACTTTTCCTTTGTTTAAGGGTATTTGGGCAGTTTATTCTCTGTTATATTCTCAAGTAAACAATACATACAAGTACAGTACAGTATTTTCTGAGGAAACACTCGTACTTATTTTTTTTAACCTCATTCCCGATAACCCGGCATTTTCACAAACTCAGCCACCCTTCGGTCCACATTAGGCCAAGTTTTCAAGGTTCTACTGTATTAAGCAAAATTTTATATTAAGAAAATGTGCCTGACAACTAAGTTAAATATTTGATTTTTTAAATATGTAAATAATCTGTTAATATTGTTCATGAATTCATGATTTAGTAAATTTAACAGATTATTTAGGAAAAATAAAGACTGCTATCATTTTATTCTGATTTCAGCAATAAGAAATTATTACTTCAGAATGCCATCATCACTTTTATTTCAAGAAATTTTAATATAAATGTAGCTTAAATTATAATACAAGCATCTGTATATAGCAGCAAATGGAGAAACAAATTACGTAAATATGAGGATCATTCAAATGAAACCTGACCAATGGATATATCAAGGTGTGGGATGTGTGTAGCAAATCATTCTCCATTTGAAATGTAGGTGGAAATACTGTAGGCTCACACTGCTATCTCGTAAACCTACAAACATTTGTAGGTTTACGAGCTGCATTTGTTTAGTACATCAGGCAGATAATCCACCCAACTTTCAAGCATGGTTGAATCAACAATTGAACTGGAGTCTGTGGAGCCACCATAAATGCTGCTCGGTACGTAGAAACTTTAAAATTTCTGCAAGCTTTCACAAGGTGTCATTGTCCTTCAGGACAACGCCCTTCCTCACACCGCACGCATCATGTAGGAATCTCTTGTGAAATTCAAGTGGGAAACACTCCAGCATCCTGCATACAGTTCTGACTTGTCTGTGTGATTTCCGCATTTTTGAGGAACTTAAGAGGCACCTGAAAGGGCATAAGTTTCAATCGGACACTGAGGTGGAAGACTCAATTTGGGAATGGTGCAGACATCAACCCACTGAGTTCTTTGAGCAAAGAATCAAATGTCTGCTGTCACAGTGGGATAAGTGGCTTACTTATCACGGGGATTACTTTTAATGTAATGTACACGTCCGTTCATAATTCTTGTCTAACAGCCGATCGATTGCGCATGGGCGGAAGCAGTTCAATTGATAAGCCAGGACGTCCTACCTGTTATCAAAGGTGTTTGGAGTGGACTGATCCGATTTGCGCCGTAATAGGGGTGAGGAAATCAAGCCGGAGGGACTTTCAGCGTGCAGTCACGTGTCATACGGGTTGACTTACTAGTCGCTCATCACTACTTGCTTCGCGTCCGCCGTTTTTATTTTAAAATTGTAAAATCGCGGCCCTTATTATCACAAATTATGATTCTATCTGTTATTTTGATACTTTTCTTTCTTTATAATGTTTTATTTACTTTATTTTCCTGTAATTAGAGACGATACGGCTTTAAAATAAACAGATCAGATCTCACTTGCCAATAGATTATCTCAACTTTCACCAATTGTCGTCGGTTCCTTTGTAATCGGATAGGAATTGACCGTGTTTTAAAGCCCAGTGTTAAGTGTTTATTGCTTTTGCAGTAATATGAGTAGAGTAGGAGAGTCCCTTAATGAACCGCATTTTATTACCGTTTAAACAACTTCTCCCCACTTCTTATTCTTAGTAACTAGACACCTCTGTCAAGGTTGGTTAAACTTTATTACTTTCACAACAGGGTGTCAAGTGAGCTGCCACCCACACCCACCGTTAACGACAACAACGCGCGAAGTATCACGTTACTCTGTAAACAAGAACTCCCTTCCTTGTTGGAGGCGGGTCACATGTCAAGGTTACTGTAATTTTATTCAACAGAATGTTGTCCTTGATATTTAAGAATCAGTTTTGTCAGAACTGTTTATTTTTCATACATTTTTTATAATTTATTTCCATTTCCGTTATAAAATTGTTTTTATCATGTTCTAAATCAATTTGTTATAAATTACACTTGTATAAAGTTTACGATTTAAAATTACAATGAACATTCCGTTGTTTGTATAATGAATAAATATTTATTGAGAGTTTAAGTTTGCAAAAAATGTTTTCACATATCTTATTCTTCATTATATATATATATTAATAACATATATTGCCATTTTATAAACAGATCTCCTTGTATTCAAAGTTTTTTTATTACTTTTTAAATTCAAATTATTTTCGAGTCGACCTTTTATATTTTGTAAATATTCGCATATCACATGACATGTCATCCGTTTAATTCTATATTACTTACGTTATCACTATTTTTATGTCTTTTTATGTTATTTTACATGTTTTTAATTGTTATTTAATGAGAATGGGATCTAATCTATGAATGGCAGCTTTTCACGCATTACATAGAATTTCTACGGGAAAGCCATCAATGCTGGCGTAACAGTGTTTATACAACGAGAAACTGGCATTTACGGATTATTCGCATTCCCGGAAGATGGTAATTGTCTCACATTATGCCAATGCAACGCATTAGCATAATGTGTGGCATTTAGCAGAATATTCGAGGTAAACACCTGCAGTAATTAAAAGGAGACATAGACAGTAAAGAAGGACACATTTTTCTGTATATTATTTATCTGTGTTACGCTGAAAAGAAATACAATTGTTAGGAAAGCGATACTATAAATCCTGTGCTGAAGTGCTGGATTAATCGTCCAAAAATGCCTAAACCAATAGGTGAGGATTTACGTCAACTTATAATTCGACATCGAAATGAAGGAAAGAGTATCGCATACATTTCAGATTGCCTTAAAATTTCTTCTCGAACTGTATCACGGATAATAAAACGCCATCACGACACACAGTCTGTGACAGCGGGACACTCGTCTGGCCGACCGCGCCTGACCACGCCCGCTCAAGATGAGCGACTCAGGGCGGAAAGCCAGGCGAGTCCATTTTCCACTGCCAACGAATTGAGGTCTACACACACACAATCTCTTTATTAATGGACTTTATTTGAAGAAACACTAAATCTTCATTTTATACATAGTCGACCCCCCTATAACACTGTTGATTATTCATATAAATATGAATTCCATGTTGTACGAGTCACTTAGATTTTACAAATACGTGTGTCGGGCTGTGAATGGCTCACATATTTGTAAAATCTAAGTGACTCGTCAGTGGTGATATTCGAAATATTTAACAAAGGGTTCGCTAACAGAAAATTTTTTCTTAACAATTTATTTCGCTCAAATGGTGCATTAGCAACATTAGCGCAAAAACTGACCTTAAGATACCCATATAAATAAAAAAGATGCATTTGCAAAATTACGTCAGTTAAAATTTAACATTGTTTATGCCAGAACTATATATAATGATGGTGTTATGTTATGGAGTGCCATTTTACACTCCTGCNAAACGCCATC